TATATATATATATATTTTTTTTTTTTTTTTTATGACCGGAGAACCCACAGCTACTACAATTCGAGTGCACATTGGATAAACCCTCGAACTGATGTAATAGCCTGCAAAATTCGCTAGTCAGATAAATCGTACTAGACAAGTCCTGTGCGACAAACTCGACTAAGAAAGTATTAGTAGGGGGAATCGAACTCGTGATTAAAAAACTTCGTACTCTCACCTACTTTACCAATTCGACCATCCATGAGGGCACTTCATCTTATATTTTATTTGGATGATAAGAGTGAGATGGGCATTTAGATGATGGATTGATTGGATGCGAGAAGTCTAACTTTCCTTTTGTGAAATGTCCATATTAATTTGAGGTCAATATGTCATCCATTTCACAAGTTGGGATACTATTGTACGGTCAAGATTTCACATACTGTAATGGAAGGTAGACGTAGTTCAAGGGTTATACTTAGCTTATCTAAGAAGCCATCTTTGTTGGCCCACCACTAAAGTTCCAATCTTAAAGAATTTCTTGTATGTTTTGTTGCATGATTTCTATGCTTGATCATCAATTAGGTAATTAATTGTTTGTTACAGTACTGAAAGGTTCACAACAGATTTAGAATATTGCAAGATTAGCATGTTGATAATAAATGTTAGGATTGATATGTATGAATGTATAATCATTTAGATAATCTTCTGTTAGGATTGATATGTATGAATGTATAATCATTTAGATAATCTTCTGTTAGGATTGATATGTATGAATGTATAATCATTTAGATAATCTTCTGTTAGGATTGATATGTATGAATGTATAATCATTTAGATAATCTTCTGTTAGGATTGATATGTATGAATGTATAATCATTTAGATAATCTTCTGCGTTATTGTTTTATTTTACATATGAATTTTGAATTGGAATATATGATCGGAGAGTGCTTAAAATATGTTTAACTTACTTCGGGAGAGATAGTTAAATAAAATTATATTATCGATTGTCAAAATTATATAAATTATACTAGACATAGGTCGAGAATTGAAAATAGGATAAAATTTTGTGGATTCGATTTCAACACATAATTCATATAAATAAATAAAAATATTTCTCTTTTGTGTTGCTTTACATTCATTTTGATAGCGAATTAGTACAATTCAATTTAAAGTTTAATCCTCATGGGACTATATTCTTTCTCACTATATTATTACTTATCAATGATCATTTACGCTTTCGAAATTTCACAGAATAAGTTTTTGGCATCATTGTTGAGGAATGAATTCTCAACTGAATCGTTTTAGATTCAAAATATCTTTTATTGTT